CCTCCTCCTCCTCTCTCTCCTCCTCTCTCTCTCTCTCTCTCACACACACACACACACACACACACTCATTTGGGTAATACCAATTATACCGGTCCATATCAAGTGTTAGGTTGTCGTCCTATACTAATCGTGTTCCGATCCATGGGCAGAGATTTTAATCCATGGTAAGTGCATACTTATTCACTCTCCTGACCCTGCACTGGATGGAGTCTTATTCACTAGGTCCCTCCATTTTCAAACATGTATATAACTTTTTGAAATTATTCATATTTATTGCAAGTTAAAATTTTAAACTATATAAAAAAACAGTGTCTCAAAACATAAATAATTATAAATGATTCACATTTCATAATATATATGTTGAGGTGTCTAATAACTAGTTATGAAATATACAACAAGTATCAGTGTCCTAGATGGAGACAACACAGACACAGATTGTATTTTAAATTATTCATGGTTCGTTGACTTAGATGCACCATGGTACAATGGATTGGCTGATCGTTCCGTCCAGTAATGAGCGGTCCATGTACCGGTCAGCTAACGGACCGGTACGTACAAACGTACCTTGATTCACACCTTGATTCACATTTATTATAATATATCTTGATGGTTATGTACTGGTTCGAGATTTTAATGCATGGTAGTGCATACTTTTTGACTCTCCTGACTCCACATTTGATGGAGTTTTATTCACTAGGTCCCTCCTTTATTTTCATGCATGTACATAATTTTATGAGATTATTCATATTTATTGCAAGTTAAATGTTTAAACTCTATAAAGAAAATAGTGTATTAAAGCATAAATAAGTATAGATGATTCACATTTCATAATATATATTTTAAGATGTCTAATAACTAGTTAGGAAGTATACAACAATTATCAGTGTCCAAGATGGAGACAACAAAAACATGGATGGTATTTTAAATTATTCATGCTTCATAGACTCAAATGCACAATGGATTGGCTGATCTAGGTTTGCATTGATTTATTCAAATTTATTATAATATATTTCTTGACAGTTATGCTGGGTTGCCACTCGCCATTGCAGTAATCAGGAAGTCCCTAGTCCCAATCAACTCAACAAATTCGAACCACGGAAAGTGGATATGAAAAAAGTAGATACAAAAATAAGATGTAAAACAGCACTGATCCAAGAAGATCCAACCAAATTTAGCAAAGTAGAGGAGAGTAGAGTAACAAAAATTGCCAGATGCCACCATTTTGATGGAGGCTACTCTTGTCATTGTTGTGGAATTGTTGGTATTGTCACTGGATTCATGATCACCATAAGATGTGTAAGTATGGGGGCAGGAATATACATCTTAACAGTCAACTTGTACTTGCATTGCCTATGACCATCAATATATAATATTATGTTATTATCATCCATTTAAAATTAGATCCATTGAACAGGATCCTCACTTTAATTTAAAGGCAACTCTAAATCTAAATTAACTTGAGCAGATATCCTATTTTGTTCAAGCAAGACTGATATTCCATTTTCAAAATTGAATAAAAGTTGAGTACTAAGAGAAAATCTCTCATTTTAAAGTTCATTTTTTCTACATGCTATAACATACATACAAACATATATATATGTATATATATATATGTATATATATACGTATATATATATATACATATATATATATCAAAATAGAGCCAAAATTTAATATATATGATTTTTTATTTGATTTTTTTGTTGCCTATTTCAATGCCATCAATCTACTTTGGGTAATCTCGATTTTTGATCCTACCTCAGTCTTGATAAACTTCAGATACATTGGTAAGTTGTCTCCTTAGGTTTCTACCTTTTTTTTTGGAAATTGTCAATCAATTAAACTTCATGAAATTTGACTTTAAAAGTTGATTAATTTCTGGAAACTAGAATAACTAATATGCAAACTGAATTTACTAAAAAGAAATTAAAATTCTTATTCCAGCAAATCCTCTTTTTTCTTTGTCCATTGTAAATTTGTTGGAACTTGTAATATTGTAGCTAGATTAACGAATGAGATCAGCCAAGGTTTGGATAAGGTTCAAGCAAGTGGAAGTTTGCTGAATCGGCTATCCTCAAGATTCCAATTCTTTTTCCTGGCTTTTCCTCATATGTTTATTAATAGTGAATTCCATTCTTTATCTTTTTGGACATATATAATAAGTGTCAGATAACTTGGATGTGATATATACTAGGTCCTTACATATATGTGTCAAGTTGGATGTTTATGGATTGCTAGCATTGATTTTTGTTCAAGAATGAAATGTTATTAGAACTGTCCATATTTGGTTCATTCTTCAGAATCATATTATATAGCGGAGATGAAATAGGATGAATTGAGTTGATATTTTGTAAATACATAATTATCTTGAATATATCAATCATTTCTTTATTTTTGATTTTTTTATTTTCCGAAGGGACAAAAGAAACATCAGAACTGTGCTTTTCTTAAAAAAGTCAACGAGTGTCAGACTTGTTTAACTTGGGTTCATGGGTTTGACTTGACCTATTTGCTAGCCTTGTACCATTGAGAAGTATTCATATTGGATCTCATGACCTTTGTAACGACACATAACCAAGTAATACAATGCTTTTTCTTATTGGCCTTGTATTGGTAAGAAACATATTATGTGTGACCTATTTGGTCTGTAATTATGTTTTAGATGCTTAGCTATGTACAAAACCGTAAGTTACTGTTTCAAACTTATCAAAAGGACTATGCAAGATATCTTTAGTTAATTTATTTAGAGAAGTACTTATTTCTGTGGATCCATATCATATTCTTGGTACTATTTCTAATCATGTCTTTCTTATTAGGTGGTACAAAGGACTATAAAGTTCTGATGGATAAACTTCATCTTGTCTCAACTGCTTTCTTGGAGCTGGAAAGAAGGTCATTTTGTTTTAATATGTTTAATCTATTTACATGAGAACAAAGTGTTGTCATAACTAAGTTTACTTTCTTTTGTCATATACGTGATTTCTAGTACTTATATATGCTTGTTTGTCTGGAAAATTCAGTAAACATTTATGATATATGAACACTCACATAAGCTCATGGCTCAAGCTCTCACAGTCCATGCTTTCATGGCATATCCCAATAAATATATGACATATGTGGCTATCTAGGCAAATATATTGGACTACAAGGCATTGAATCAATGATACACAAGCTACACCACACAAAAAAATTCAAGTAACATAAAAGTGATTTGCTCAAACATCTTGATCCCTTGAATTAGAAGAATCAATTGGTGAAGATTTGGTTGTATCACTTCCCTTTCTTAGGTGGGAAGCAAAAATGATCAGTAAAACTATTTCTCTTTGGATCAAGTCATTCCTAGAATTGACTCTTGACTAGCACCCTTTAAGCATTGTGGTTCCTGAATATAAAGGCCCTCTGTCCCTGACATGCATTATCAGTTCTATTCTATCCGCCAGTGGATCTATCATCAGGTACTCAAATTAAAAAAGTTTTATCTGCACATATCTACTGTGAACCACCTGTGTTCTTGAATTAACTTGATATTGATATCATTCTTACATGGACTTACTAATGCTTAAATAATGCTAATGGATATTGAGTTTTTTTATTTTGAATTAGACAATTCTTTTGCCACTATTCTAGTTTTTTAAACTGTTATCCTGTTCTGTTGGCATTTAATTGAGTTAGTTTGTTATCCAATGGAATTCTTCATATGCTTTTAGCTTACATTCTTAAAACTTTTGCATCTATTAAAAATCGTCACTCTATATACCATAATATATAAATGTTATATGACATAAAATTAAGAAAATACTCTCTCTCCTAGATAAATTGATTTCATTTTTTATACTACCAATTCCATTGCTTTTGTGGCACCCAGTTATCAAGAGGCAATTGAAGATATTACCAAGAGAATGGGTGCAGGAATGGCAAAGTTCATATGCAAGGAGGTGTGTAGTTAATGCTGCAACATACCCTACATTCATGAACTCACACAAACATACAATAGAGTCACTTGTATATTGCATTTCAAATATGGTTTTGATCACAATATGCTACACAGTTCTTATCTAATTATTATTAGTCCTTGGATTGATAAAAAACAAAATACATTTTCCAAGTGATGCAAAATTTATTTTAATATTTTCATTTGTTGATGCGAGTGGAAAAGTATTGTTTTTATATTTTAGTGACATCTTCGATTAATGTGAAAGATGAAATTATATTTGTTATTGAAGGAAATCAATTTATTTCAAGATTAATTGTTAAGAAAATTAGTTTTCACATTATCTATGAACTTATTAGTCATTAAAGGATAGACCTCTCCTTGTTGTATATTATTTGCTGATGATATTGTTTTATTTATAAGATTAAAATAGAATTAATTCTAAACTTAAGCTATGGAGGCAATCCTTAAAAACTAAAGGTTAAAGGTTTTAATTAAGTGGGACTAAAGTTGAATAAATAAAATGTGATTTTAGTAATACTAATTACAGACAAGAGGATATAATTAAGTTGGATGGGCAAGAAGTTCCATTAAGTAAGTGTTTAAGTATTTTGAATCAATTATTCAACAAGATAGATAAATTAATAAAGATATTATTTATAGAGTAAAAACAGAATGATAGTTAGATTTTCATATTTGAAACAGGATAAGCTTAAACAAATGTCATACTAGTAATTATTTCATCTCTTCTAACTACTGCATTTAAAAATCTCCTCATAAAAGAAATCTTTTAAGTTGCAATGATATGTGCTTAAGATATTTTCAAACGTAGTACTTAGAAGAAGTGAAATGATTACGATTAGTGATATGAGGAGAGATAGGGGAAGAATTAAAAATATTTTAATAACAATTATAAATAAAAGATTTAATACTCTTAACTTACCTAAATGTATGATTTGTCATATGTCTCAATGGCAGCAAATGATAATAGTTGGGATTTTATGGCTTTGTTATTGGTTGTATTAATTCTTAAGGAATTGCTATGAGCATTTTCAGTTATGTTTAGCTATTTCAAAATTTTATAATATAACTCTGCCATTGGAGCTAATAAATTCTAATGGGCTACCATATTGTGGGATTTTGAGTTAAGTTTTTGCTGCATTAACATATTATATCTTCTGATGAGATTCTTCATTGTGGAATTAAAGTTTAAAAGCTGCTTTATCATTGTTTTAGAAACTGATGATATTAAACCAACAGCCAAGGATCTATTCACTCTTGAGCCATTGCAAATTCGTCTAGGCAGCCACACAATAATCAAACTGGTTCAAAACATTTTCGAATTCTAAAAATAAAAATTGAAGAAACGAATATGCATGAACTTGATCCATTAATATAACTAATCTTTGCTCAATCATGACAACTTTAAAATCTTAAGAGAAAAACAACCTGAAGTACCCAGTAAAAATTATCCAGAGATAAATGGAAATTTCTTGCAAAATTGTATATTGGGTAATTCACACAGTGCAGGAATAAGGTAGAAGTTGTTCTTCTGTTTGTGATAGATATAGTGAAAGTAATTGTTGCCTTTCATGTTGCACTGGTAAACTTGTGGTAATGCCTTAACTACAGTGGAAGTTGTTCCCTCTGGGACATTGCTATAGTCAACTCATGTTTCTGCAATCATTAGCAACAGTAATAGCATTGTATACCATCTGTCATCTGTTATGATTTCCATCTTTCAATGACACAATAGTTTTGACCTCCTACTATGTATGGTGAGAATGATGGGGGTAAATGGAGAGAGGGGGAATGAAGGAGTCAAGAAAATTTGACGTACTTCATTCTTCAAATCATAGGATTCTAATGCATGACACATCAGCTTGATTTCTTTGCAATTACTTTAATTTCTATTATCCATTTTGTAATGTAGATTGACACACCTGCATTTACTTATTTGCACATAAATTCTGAACCCATCATTGGAGTTCTGTTATTTTCAGTCAGATTAGGATGTTTACACTCAGAACATATGATGTTATCATGGTATACTGAGGCTATGGTATACATCTGATTGGAGACACTATAATGCAGGTATTACAATACAGAGCCATATATACCAAACTTAAAATCATTTTAGTTTTCCTTAGGTCTATACTGACCGTATTGGTATTGTATTGACTGACACATACTGGTTCGAGTCCGACCTGTTTGCAGTACTAGGACCAAACCAAAATTTTAAACTTTTTCAAGGTTTCTATGAATTCTATATAAGTAATCTACTACTTTTTCTCACATTATACTCTTCCATTGAAATTTTATTATATTGCTCTTTACTTATATGCAGGTAGAGACAACCGATGATTATGATGAATATTGTCACTATGTAGCAGGACTGGTTGGGTTAGGACTGTCTAAACTTTTTCATGCTTCTGGTTCAGAAGAACTTGCTCCGGATAACCTGTCCAATTCCATGGGTTTGTTTCTTCAGGTATGTGTCAGGCCTTTATGGCATGGTCATGTTCTGATTACTTAAAGAGTTCTATTCTTTTGTTTGCAGTTTCTCCATTGAATAGAATGTAACTTCTTCTGAAATGCAGAAAACAAATATTATTCGGGATTATCTGGAGGATATAAATGAGATTCCAAAGTCACGCATGTTTTGGCCTCACCAAATCTGGAGCAAATATGCCAATAAGCTTGAGGTTCATTTGTTATCCATCTTTGTTGCTTAAATATTATTTTTCAGAAAAAAAAGCAATAAGAGAAAAACATACCCACTCCTCTTGGAAAACGTACAAGAGATGATGCAAGTTGTATTTGTTGGTTGTATATCTGCGAATTGGACTTGTGTATGAGTTCCAATTTCAACTAGGAATCAGATATTTCAAATGTTAAGCGTAATTTAACTTAAAGACAAAAAGTGGACCTGCTCAGTTTTTCCAGCTTGAGATGAACTCATTCTTACTGTTGCAAAATTTCACAACAGTCAGTCAATGACAATAAATAATCTGTTCCAACATATATTTTTCCCACACATACTTGTACCTCATTTTTCCACTATTCATGAGGATAAATCTCATTGATAGAGATAAATCTCAAGACAGTTGTTAACTATTCATGCAAACTTGTCATTCCTAAAAAGTCACTGCAATATCACTCTGCCAGGGTCCTGGTGGAGTTTTTCCCATGGATGGGGCTTTCCCTTGGTCAATTATGGATCAGATCTTTATTCTGCATAACAAGATACATTTTGAAAATGTAATTGAACCAAAGAGTAATTTTGTATATTTTCAACCTATAATTGTCTTTTTATCTTACTCCTATTCAGAGCTTACGTAATTTATGTACTAGAAGTATACAGTAGGATCAAACCCACAACAATGTGTCACTATGATGTCACCTTAGCGTCAAACTACTGTTAATACTTATAGCGTCACTATGATGTCTCCTCAGCATCATTCTTTCTTCCCTCTCCTTTTTCTCAAGCAATTTTATTTCCTCTTACTGGGGTTCAAGGCATAGTGTTTAATTAAAGATTAATATGGCCACAATAAGCAAATTAAAGTGTAACTTAAAGATGCAGTCATATACACATGATGCTTTAGATGATAATTCTTATTCCTCACTTCTGTTGACATTCAGGATTTCAAATATGTTGAAAACTCAACTAAGGCAGTGCAATGCTTGAATGACTTGGTAACTAATGCTTTGATCCATGCCGAAGATTGCTTGCAATATATGTCAGGTTTAAAAGATCTCTCTATCTTTCGCTTTGCAGCAATTCCACAGGTACATAAAAAACAAAATGGTTCTTTCCAAGACTATAGTACATTTATGGCAAATTTGATACTTGGGTTTAGTTTTTCCTAGCTTATCATTTCAATCAATTAGATTAGTAATAAACTATTGGGTTGCCGTTGCTTCTTATATCTTTTGCCGATTTTAGTAGTATGACTTTCCTGAGGCAAGCATTTCAGAAGTCGGGAGACTGTTGCTTAGATTTTTATTTTGTGATTGAAGATACGATATTGGAACCCTTCGATGGGCTTGAGGGTATCCTTCTGCAATGTATAACAAGCAACCTACTGCCAGCTTAGTGCTTTATTGTGACCTAAGCATAAATTTTTACATTCTATTTCCTAGTGAAACTACTTGGGATTTTTGGGGACCAATAATATCTTTCAATGATACAAATGTCTTTGTTCGAAAGAAACCATAAGTACCTCACTTTCTTTTACTTTTTTGGTGTATCTATGAGCTTTTAGGTTGAGAGAACTTTTATGTTAAGAGCTTATGACAGCTAGTTTTACATTTTGAAGGGTACACAGCTGACTCATCACATGCTTCTTACACCATGAACAATGAGTTCCTCCGAATAATGAATCAATTTCTCTTTTCCAGATTAGGTTACCTAATGTATCCAAGCTGAATTTTGATAGGATGGTTCTATCAGGGAGCTACTTCTCTTTTAGGGAATTGGTCCCTTGAAAGACCAAAGAGATGGAAAAGAGAGATGATTTTGGAGCAAAGAAAATTATCATCCAATTATACCTTCAGAGTTCAGGACTTGTATGTTTGTAGGAGTTCTAGAGTGAACACTCTAAAAACTAGTAAGATGATATTTACTGGTTTGGTCAAAGACTAATAATAGATCACTGGCTGATATTCATTTTTTGAACTTTTTTACGATACTTGATGGTAGATCAGTATATTGCCTGCTATGTCAATACCATATGATCCAACAAGATGCCAAAATTGATATCAGATTAAGATTTTAAACCTTGGTCTAGCCTTATACCATATTTATATTAGGAATTTTGAACACTAATTAGACAATAAATTTGATTCTAAAATATCTAAACAGTAAAAATAATAACAAAAATATTGCTAAAATATTTTCATATTTTGACTCATAGATGTCTTCTTTCTCCTGCTTATGGTCTTTATCTTCCTTGGATACAAAAATGGCTCTTTGAGCCTTTGCTATATAATCTATCAATCCTTTGATTGTCTAAATATTTGTTACCGGACAATGGTTGATCGGACAATAGGTGATCCAAATTAGGTAGCATGCTGAAATTCTGCATAAGTTGGAATTCTATCCCATTTCACATAAATTACTACTTCACAAACCTTGCAAGTCACTACACAAGCTGACCCATCCACCGAGGAAGCTGTACCATACCAAGTAAACATAACAAATTAGTTTGAATGTTGATCAGTAGAAACAGTAAAGTCGACACAAAAGTAGCTAGCACATTTTTTTTCCGTCTTAGGTTGTGCTCTTCAAAGTTCCCACCATACCTAAGAATATCAAATTGTTATTGCCAAGGGAATGTTATTTTATCTAGATTCTCTAAATGACCATTCTCTTGGCTTTACCAGGATGTGATCAAAACATTTCCGAATAAGATGTAGAGTGATCTTATTCTCTATCATTGAACTAAGTTTTAACAATTATTGACTGGGTTTCTCCTACTATTTTGTAGCATCACATAGTAACTCCCATATGTCACTATTCTCAGATTGACTATCCAAACAATATTTGCATAAACTATTGGTACTTGAAATAAGAAACAATGTTATGTCATTATGAGTAATAAACTTTGGTTGCTTTATGTTTTTACATATTTGGCATGCTATGATGACACATGCCAGATAAATTGTCACAAAAATCAATTGTACATTCAGAATTGTAAGTACTAGAGCAAAAATTTTGACAACTGCTATGTTGTAATCACTATTCCATTTTACATACACAATTTACAGACGATGTTTCATTTATCACAAGTCACCAAAATTTCATCACATTAACAATTTTCTTATGACATTGGAAAAATCTTATGTTCAATTGTGAAATCATTATTCATAAGAAAGAGTTACCTACATACAATGTACGATGCAGTCTGCCTTTGAGAGCGAGAATGCTGCCTATGTAAATATGGGAATGTAGAATAGATATGTTATCTTGTAGTTTGGTGAAACTGTACCATATAAAATTGAACAAGCAGGTTTTGCAATCCTTCTGCTTCTTTGTTAACTGTCATACTATGATTGTTTATGATGTAAAACCATTTGCATTTTTTTGAAAAAGATTATTACCTCTGCTTTTATATTGCAAAACATAATACAAGGAACTCTTGCAGGTGAACTGTATTCTACACTTTTGTACAGTTGAACTAAATATTCATTTAAAAAAAATCATAAAATTTGTATCTCATAGTAGATATGAATTTTGTAAGTGTGACTTTGCCGCTGCTTTTCTCTTTTTAAGTCACTATGATTTTAAATATACATGTCAGTGAATTATACAGAAAGTTGTGTATCTCATCTTCATGTTTCAGGAATAATGCACTACAATATGATTTTTCATCATTTTCATACTGAAAAATTTAAAACAAATAACTTTGAATAAGTCATGGTTCTGTGCAAGTCCATTAAGCATCTGCATATATCTTAGGATGGTAACATGTAAGAATGTATAAGGCTATAGGCCTGTATCAAGTTGCATAACCTTTATGGTTGCCTGCACTAGGCATCCAGGGTAAAAGGTGCATCAATCTAATTGTCTAAACTGATCTTGTCGTTTAATCATGCTTGATGGGCCAATTAGTTGGTTTTAAGTTATTTTACATTATTAGAAATATGCTTGTTGCATCTAGTCCTTGCTTTTACTTGGAAAAAAGAGATATTTTAATTGAATGAACATATTTTAGCTGGAGATTATGATAACTGTCTGTCTAGATCAGTGTATATGTAGCATAGTGCTCATGTTTTCTTTTCCGAATTCATATTTTACTCTAGTATTATATGAGATGCTTTGACCTTTATCTTTCTATTATCGGTTTGTTGCTTTCCCTTCATAAAACCTAAGTATGCAACATATTGCTGATATCATGATGGTTGAACCTATGTAGTTTAATGTTACTGAATCGGAGCACATTTTAATGGCTACTGTCACCTGTAACAGATTATGGCAATTGGAACCCTAGCTTTATGCTACAACAATGTGGAGGTTTTCAGAGGAGTTGTAAAGATGAGACGTGGTAAGAATCTCTTGTTTAAGATCATTTAACTAAAGTATTGTAATTGTATATGTTCTTTGCAACTTCCTGATTAATTTCCCCCTCATGTTCACTCTTAATGGTTGAGTCAGTTTCGATGTAGGAATTTTGTTTTACATAGCATTCTGTTGGTGTGTGAAAATAGAAAAGTTGTGGATTTTTTAAGTGAAAAGACTCTCTCTCTCTCTCTCTCTCTGTTCATATCTCTTTTATCTTAACTTTCTAATAAATATTTTTTGATGGGTTGATTTTCTTTATAACTATGTAATTTTACTATCTTGATATTCAGTGGGGTGGGGGTGAGAGGGGAGGGGAGGGGGGCAGGAATCATTTAAGATATATGAACATGTATTTCAAACCATGGTCTGCAGTACCGGACTGTACTGCCCGGTATGGACGATACGTACCGGTCCGATAGGCGTTCGGTACACGGGCCGCCTGTTACTGGTCCGACACTGTAGTAGCACTGTAGCACTGTAGCCCTATGCTACAGTGCTAGGCACGCCTGACTATACCGCTCGGTATACCGTACCATACCGGTACCGAGCCCAGGTCGAAACTCCGGTACGGTACGGTATTGCGGACCTTGTTTCAAAGAGACCTCAAATTCTCAATAGATGAATAGATTTGATTAGGATCAACAATCAAGGAAAGATGGAGGGAGACCAAAGCTTTACTAGAAACAATGGATAGTGAATTCACTGCTTAATTTAACAATAGATAATTCCTTACAGAAAGTTCAAATGGTGAGAGAGGTTCAATATAGCTGATTGCAAAGAATTGGAACATTACACTAGTTATTTCCTTCTTACTTTTGATTTTGTTTGAATCCTTAAACACTTAGGAAGACAACTATTGAGGTAGGTTTGCAATTTTCAAATGAATGTGGGTATTTGCAAAATGACATGCAAAACCTTCCTATGTGATTGTACTTGGCTCTTGGCTACATGGATTTTATCACAATATTGAGCTTTATTCTTGTCATTATCTGTATGTCTCAGTATTTTTCTCATCGTTTTATATTATTCCAATCAAGCATTTCCATAAATCTCTAGAAATCTTTAATGTAAATTAAGTTTGCCTAATTGGTGCACTTATAGCCTCTTTTGGATATAGAAAAACAACTAATGCATTTATGTGTAATTTTGTGGTCAATTAAAATTATCCATAATTTTTCTCGTATAAAATATTTCTTATTTTATCTTTTCTGATAACTCCAGACATTAATTTCTAATTTTTGAAGGTATGTTTCTTAAATACCCAATATTCTTACCTGTAAAGTATTTGATTTATGTCTATGTCATGGAACATACCTTCTTAGCCATCATTCTTTGTATTTTTAGTAAGAAAAGGTGAGTAGAAGATTTAACAATTTGAGATCTAAAAAGATTAGCCAGTCTTAGAAATCATGACCACTTAGATGGTTTCTTTAGGGTTGGTTATTAAACATTGCTTAATCACCATGTACACATCTTTACTCTGTCTGTACAATTTTCGAGGAGGACAACAAAAACAAATAATGTAAATATCAGATGATGAACAACTAAAAATAAGCTGAGTACAGTTGGTTAGCCAATGCAAGGACTGGTGAAGGTCATTATTGAAACAACAATTCACTTGAAAGACATTCCACTTATAGGACTTATTCTTTCATTTAGTTTCTAAGATTGATGATAAATGATAGCATTTATTGAAATAAATCAATAAAGAAAATGTAGTTTCTAAAGTAGGCTTTTTGTAGTTTATTGAATTTGATTCACTTATCTATGAAACCTTAGCATTATTGAATCAATAAAGATGCAATAAACCTTAACATTATTAGAATTTGATTCACTTGCCATCTTTATTGAATCAATAAAGATGCAATTTGATTCACTTACCTATGAAACCTTAGCATTTGTGTAGTTTCTAAAGTAGGTTTTCATGATTGGCTTTGTGGTTTGTAAGCATTTAATGCCATGACTAGTTAACAGCATAATCCTAATTATTTCATAGACATATATCTATTATATTTTTTGGTCATTTTGTGCCTGCAGATATCAGAATTAGTTTTTATCATTTTTTGTTTAATTCTGTGATTTGTATTATTATAGCGTGCTAAACTTATATATCTTTTTGACTTCTTTTCCAGGACTAACAGCTAAGGTTATTGACCAGACATACTCTATGTCAGATGTATATGGTGCTTTTTATGAATTTTCTTCTTTGCTGAAATCAAAGGTAGAAAGTCCTATGTTATGTAGAATAATCATCTGACTTTTTCAAAATTCAATATTTTGAAAATAACATCTAGTGTTTAAAAATGGCATTTATCCACTCATGAACTCAAAATATTTACTAATCCTAAAAGATGGATCAGCATCCTTTTTATGTTAAAGTTTTTATTAAACAAGTTTTATAGTAACAAAAGGTATTTTGATTTTCCTTTTCCTTTTTGCTAGTCAAGTGCCAAGTGGTTTGAGTTGGTGTAGTGTTTAATTAGTGCAAAAATTGTACAAGATTGTAAAAGCCATATCAGCATCCTTTTTAATTAAAATTTTTAATAAGCAAGTTCTTATAATAACAAACTTTTTGTCTCAGGTAGTCGAGGACTAAGCAGTTTTGAGTTACTGATCAGTATAACTGTGTACTATAAAGTATCCATCAGTTGTATTTTTGTAGAAATAAGTTGTACCTATTTATCTAAGTGCTCTACATTTAGTAGCACTAATCTGGGCACGCAGAAACATATAGCTATGAACTTTGGCAAGAAGCAAGTAGCTCTTGTCCAAGGCCACCTCAATTTGAACTCATGGAATAACTTCTAGCTTCTGGTATTTTTGTAATATTGGAAATAAACCAGAAGATCAAAGAAAAACTTGATATTTTCCACAGATTCTAATCCTATTTTGCCTGTCTTTTTAATAAACCAAGTAACAAGAAGACCAGATCAAGGTGTTAATTAGTACGTATGAAATATTGCTAGTTAAATCTACATCAAGTTTCTGGGATGTTGACCAGTGCTAATGTTTACACCAAAGCCAAAACATCCATAACATCAGCAAACGATGTGTATACATGTGAAAACTCACCAAGAATCAGCTTCAGATCTAGTTGATAGGACAGAATCAGAATCAGATGAAGCTGGTGTTCAAGCAGGATCAGTTTTCGTATCTGCGTCAGCTAATGTTGGGGCAAGACTAAGTAGAGAGGATAGAGGTTCAGGTGCTTGTGTTGGTTCAGAAATCTCAGTATTACTTTAATCTAAGGATTCTTAACAAGCAGTTTGAGTTGACAACTTAATATTTAAGATCATCTCTATCTCTGCCCTTACATTATACGAGGCGAACGAAAGATTCAATTAATTCTTTGATGAGAGGTCGGGTATGAAAGTGGCAATCTGGAGGCTCCATATCTTTTTTGACATTGTTTATTTGGATCTCATTTTTTTGATAAAATTGGCTTGTAAGATGAATTTGTTGGGCTACCCTATAGTTTGTTTCATATTATGATTGATGTCCTTGGTTCTGTTGTACATCATTGACTAGAGTTACAACTGGTTGTGCAGATTGACAATAATGATCCAAATGCCAGTTTAACACATCAGCGTGTAGATGCCATACAAAAGACCTGCATATCTTCTGGGTTGCTTAGCAAAAGGTTTGCTATTTTCTTGATATCTTTGTTAAGATGATCTTTATATATGTTAAGCGGTTTGCATCGTCTGGCCTGTTATAGGAGTTTGCATGTATACGAGAGCAAATTCCACTATGTTACGTTGCTGGTGAGCCTCATTCCATCCGCTAGATTAATTATTATTTAAGTCTAGATTTCCACATAAATTTCATGCTGATATTCATGCAGATTATGGTGGTCTTCCTCCTAGTGGCTATGTTAATTCCTTTCGTACTGCACAAATGATCCCTCTGTGTAAGGATCATTGTGAAAGGTTACTGATATCTTATTGACAGAACATTTAACATTCTTTTAGTTGTTGTCAGAATTACTTTGCTAAGCTTTATAATTATCTGATTGATGGTTGCTGATAAATGCAGGATTCATTTGAGGGTTCTATGTTTGCCGATGGCTTGTGTTTGTGCCGAGGTGCTCTTGTTTAAGCTAGTGTGGGTTTGACATTTTCTTGCCATGAAGATAACTGACCCAATTAGCGTATGTGTTTTGTAGGAGCAAGTGAAGATCCATTGTAATTTGAAACCATATAGGTAGATAAGGATAAACAAACAATTTCCACCCTGATATGAACCAAGTAAATGCAAAGATTTTGGATGGATATATTTGAATGATGAACTAGTGCAACAAATTCTTTTTCTCGAAGTAACCAAAACATGCAATAGCTTTTCTCGTATAAAAATATGCTCAGGACAACCTGTGTTACTATTTCCCAGGGCATATCTTAACATATATAATTCCCAAAAACCTGTGTAAACTAAACGAGAAATCATGTGGCTGGGTTTGGCAATGGCCTGTTGTGTTTAGATGAAGCACTACTAGTTTTGTTTTAGATGAAGCTGTTAGGAATGAGTCGGCACTAAGAAGGGGGTAAATTAGTGCAGCAGATAGAATCACCGTTGGTTCAAAAATCTTTCGGAAGGGTGTGCAGCAAAAATAATAAGTAAAACGGTTTGTAATAAAGATAAATAGCAAAACAGAAATGCAAATCGTTTTTTAATGATTCGGTCGTTGTGACTTATATCCACTCCGTTGATTCCCCTTCTGTCGAGACTATCGGCATCCACTAATGATCTTCTCCTTTTCACAGGTTTAGGAGTCAACCTTTTACAAGCACTTGCTCCTTCCTAAACAGCATTTTAAACTTAGAATTAGATGAGAATTCTCTCTACAACGTTTTCTCACTTTTAAACTTTCTATGTTTATGTTTGTTAACTAGGGATGAGAGGAGTATTTATAGGCCTTAAGTGGATTCAAACTTGGAGCCTAAAAATGTCTTATCCCGGGTCCTTTCGGTACTAGTGGTATCATCGCTTGTGTTGGCGGTACCATCGCCAGTGCTTTCTGACACTGGGCGATACCATTGCCTAGCACCCTATCATTGGATGGTACCATCGCCCAATTTGGTGATACCATCACTTGATAGCCTCGGAGACTGAGTCTCGGCGATACCACCGCCCAGACCGGCGGTACCATCGCCTGACACGGTCTCGGAGACTGTGCCACGACGGTGTCACCTGTTGGGTCATTGTCTGGGCCTTTTATTGGGCCTAACACAGTCCATACAAGGGCCCAACTAGCCCCTAATTGGGTTGGCCCAATTCCAATCCTAATTATGGCTAACTACGAATTCTAAGGCATACACTAAGCAAATTTGTTCTAGTTAGTCTTGGTTTCTTCCGGCGAGCTTCCGGTAATCTTTCGGTGAACTTCCGACGATCTCTCGGTAATGTTCCAGCGGACTCCCAACAAGCTCCTGGACTTCACGATGATCTTCTTGGTGAGTTCTGACGAGCTTCTTCGGCAAGCTTCTGGACTTCTTGGTCAATTTTGGTAGAACTTCCGACGAACGTCCGGACTTCCGACGAACTCTCGAACTCCCAACAAAATCTCGTTCTCGACTCGGGGACTTCATTTTGCTTTATGCCTTGATCACTATCGTAGTTAATCCTACACAATTAAAACCAACTTCGATATAGACAATTATTACAAAGCTTGAATCATGTTGTTCGACATGTCATTGGTTCATCGACGCTTCTTCTGATTCTTCGGCGCATCATCCTCTCTTGTGGCTTATTGCCCAATCGGTTAGTTATCCTCCGCAACTCCGATATCCTTGACGTAATTTCCGCTCTTCTTGGCCCGATGCCCAAAGCCATGGCCCGAAGCCTTTTGCCGATACGTCGATCGATTCTCCGGCTCGACGTCCAATCTTCTGACATGTTCTACTCCGACCTAACATGATTCTTCCTGCTTTAATTGTCTCTCCCTGATCGAAGCTTCCTGCATCACTCAAAATGTAGATCAAATCATAAACACTCTCAATTGATTTCATCATCAAAATTCGAGATTCTACAATCTCTCCTTTTTTTTATGATGACAATCAATTGATGATGGAGCTAACCTTAACTCCCCCTATCAATATGTCTTATTGATAGAACTCTTGGATTCTAAAACTCAAACAACGTGTTATGATAAAACTATGCATAACATTATCATACTTCTCCCCCTTTGTCATCAACAAAAAGAGAAGTGCAACTTTCATCTGTATAAGATATAAGCTTTATAACATTACATAATAAACATAATCTCATTTTTTATCATCATTGCAATTTGTAAGCTAGCAAATTTAACAAGTGCTACATCATATTAGAACATGCAAGCTAGCAGATTTTATATCATTTTAGAGCATGCAAGCTAGCAAGTTTTATATTGGGTAGTAAGATAGCAAGTTTTACAACATACAAGCTAGCAAATTTTTTCATCATTTTAGAAAGTGTAACTTAGCAATATTTGAGATGTTCGAAAAAACAACTTTTGCTTCTTGAAATAAGTAAGTTAGCAATCTGCTTCTCTTTTGAAATGAGCAAGTTAGTATGTTTTTGTATTTTCTTGAATTGTGTAAGCTAGCAAATCTTATGTAAAGTATCAATTTTATTTCAATATGTTTGTGTATCATTATAGTTTCAAATTAAAACATGCACAATTTCAAACCCTTACATTTGCATCCTTACTTCATGAATGATACAAATAAATCAATCATCACTATGAGCATATCATACATGATACTAAGATATTAAAATTTTTAAGCATTTATCACTTCATGATTGTTGGTACCAAACATTCATCATTTATCAAATCATCACATGAAATATATCAAGAAAAAAATTAACTTGGTGATGAGGTATACAATTCATGAAGACAAATTATGAATATCAAGAGACAAATTATGATTCTTTTGGATAGTAAAATGAAGAAACATATTAAACAATCTTGGTTCATAAGAATCTCAAGTTGTCAAGGTAATGATTTATATATTAATGAAAGATCTCAAGTTATAAAGTCAAAAAATCATGATTCAAAAAAAATCTCCTCTTTAAATAAAATACCAAGAAAATCGTAAGATTCATATAAAAAATCATAACATGAAGGATATTAATATGAAAGATCAAATTCGTGAATGATTCCTCTTGACAAATCTCTTTTTAATAAATAACGAATAGAATTATAGGAGATCAAAATATCTTGATTCAAATAAATATCAAATTATTAATGTCAAGAATCAAGATTCATTTGGATAAATCTTCTCTTAGATAAGTAAATCATACGTGAATCAAGAAAAGAATATTTTATATAAAATATATCTCATTATTAAAACAAATCATACGAAAAGGAATCCAAAATCATTATCAAAATCACTTTTCGAAAAATTTAATGAAAGGAATGTAGATAGATTCCTATAAGATTAAAGATAGCTTAAGTTCTTTTAAACAAGCGATTTGATTTATCATTTTGATTCCAATGATAATACATTTTTCTTTTTATATGTTTCATTTTATGTGATTGATTTCATATAAGTATGTCCAAATTTTTATGTCAAATAAAAACAAGCATCAACGTTTAAAATGAAAAAAAAACTTTCATTATGACAAAGATCGATAATCTATAAATCATAAGAATTATCATGCATAATTTTGAAGGATAAACTCATTAAGCATGATCATTATGCATCATTACTTTGGGCATAATATCAAAATAGTAAAAATTTTTAAAACATCATTACTTGGGTATGCATGATACGAAAACATGGTTTCAAATTTTCAAGGTATAACATGCACATTTTCAAACTATAAACTCATTAAGTATGATTTCAAATCATCAAGCATGGTTTCGTTGAACAAAAATCATTTTCAATCAAAATAAAAAAATAATATGAAAATTATTAAGATACACATTATTACTTCATTACATCATTAAAACATCAAGCATGATTTCATTAAATATAAAGTATTTTTCATCAAAATCATTTTGTTGTAGTTATGCATTTTTCTTTTTAAGTGAATCTAACTTTTCATGCTTAGTTTTCCATACAAAAGCTATGCATCATCATTTATAAACGAAGACAATATGAAAATTATTATTGCTTCTTAAAACATGCATAAAATTAATATTTTATTATATTTTTATAAAACATATAATTATCAATTTCAAAATTACTAGCATGATCCTAAATTTTTTTTTATTTCTAAATTAAAAAAATAACTTATGAAAAGAAATAAAGTAAAGGGGTTTCATTTGAGTTATTTACCTCGTTGACGAAAGCCGTCAAAGCGTAATTCGCCACCTTACCCTTGTTGGTTTGCCTATTAGTGTCTTCGTGTGTGATTTTAAGAGTGTGCCAAATATCGAAAGTCGTTTCACATATAGAAATTCGATTGAATTCATTTTTGTCCAAGGCGCAAAATAGAGCATTCATAGCTTTAGCATTTAAAGAAAAAGTTTTCTTCTCCAAATCATTCCATTCTTTCATTGGATTAGAAGATATTTTAAAACTGTTTTCGATAATATTCCATAAATCAAATCTATAGAAAGCAAAAAAACTCTCATCCAAGTTTTCCGATAAGTGTAGTCCGTCCCATTAAACATGGGAGGACAAACGATAGAAAAGCACTCTTGAAAGCCGAAAAGAGTCATTTCTCTTGGGTGTTAAACCAAGCGAGAAATAACGTGGCTCTGAAACTAACTATTATGAATGAGTCGGCACTAAGAGGGGGGGGGGTGTGAATTAGTGTAGCAGATAGAATCACCATCGGTTAAAAAATCTTTCGTTCGTTGAAACTAATTTCGGAAAGATGTTAACTTGAAATACGTTCGAAAGGGTGTGCAACAAAAATAATGAGGAAGTAAAGCGGTTTGCAATAAAGATAAATAGCAAAACAAAAATACAAATCATTTTATAGTAGTTCGGTCGTCGTGACCTACATCCACTTCGTCGATTCCCCTTCTGTCGAGGCCACCGACATCCACTAGTGATCTTCTTTCAACGAGTAAAGATCAACTGTCCTTTTACACCCCTCTTCTTATTTTTACAGGTTTATGAGTCAACCTTTTACAAGCACTCACTCCTCCTTAAATATAATTTTAAACTTGAAATTAGATGAGGGATTCTCTCAAGTGATTTCTACAGTGTTTTCTCACTTTTAAGCTCTTTGTGCTTATGTCTGTTAACCAGGGATGAGATAGGTATTTATAGGCCTCAAGTGGATTCAAACTTGGAGCCTAAAAATGTCTTATCCCGGGTCCTCTCGGTACTGGCTGTATCACCACCTATGCTTTCTGACACTGGGCGGTACCACTGCCT